AGGGAAGGAGGGAAGGAGGGAAGGAGGGAAGGAGGGAAGGAGGGAAGGAGGGAAGGAGGGAAGGAGGGAAGGAGGGAAGGAGGGAAGGAGGGAAGGAGGGAAGGAGGGAAGGAGGGAAGGAGGGAAGGAGGGAAGGAGGGAAGGAGGGAAGGAGGGAAGGAGGGAAGGAGGGAAGGAGGGAAGGAGGGAAGGAGGGAAGGAGGGAAGGAGGGAAGGAGGGAAGGAGGGAAGGAGGGAAGGAGGGAAGGGAAGGGGAACGTACCCTCTCCCGCTGCGCGTCCTGCAGCTCACGCAGGAAATCCCGCAGCGCTGCCTGCACCGCCTCCGGCTCCGCGCCCCCATCCGAGTCCGGGGTTGAACCGGGGCTCCCCGACCCCTCCGGGCCCCCACCTGGTGCCGGGGGACAAACTGGGTGACATGGGGACATTGGAGGGGGGGGTGGTGCGCAGCAGCCAAGGGAGGATGGCAAGGGGGGTGAGTCTCAATGGGATGCAGCCAGGGGATTTGGGGGACCCCCTAAAGGTGTAAGAGATGGGATAATGGGGTACGGGGGACTCCCAGGGATGAAGAGGTAAGGTGTCAGGGACCCCAGGGATGGAGGGGATGGAGAAATGAGGGGTGATAAAGGACCTCCAGGGATGTAAGGGATGGAGAAATGGGGTGAGGAGGGACCTCCAGGGATGCAGGGGATGGAGAAATGGGGTGATGAGGGACCTCCAGGGATGCAGGGGATGGAGAAATGGGGTGATAAAGGACTTCCAGGGATGCAGGGGATGGAGAAATGGGGTGATTAGGGACCTCCAGGGACGCAGGGGATGGAGAAATAAGGTGATGAGGGACCTCCTGGGACACAGGGGATGGAGAAATGGGGTGAAGAGGGACCTCCAGGGATGCAGGGGATGGAGAAATGGGGTGATGAGGGACCTCCTGGGACACAGGGGATGGAGAAATGGGGTGAAGAGGGACCTCCAGGGATGCAGGGGATGGAGAAATGGGGTGATGAGGGACCTCCAGGGATGCAGGGGATGGAGAAATGGGGCGAGGAGGGGCCTCCAGGGACACAGGGGATGGAGAAATGGGGTGAGGAGGGACCTCCAGGGATGCAAGGGATGGAGCAATAGGTTGACGGGAGACCCCCAGGAAAGCAGGGGATGGGGTAACAGGATGATGGCGGACCACCAGGGATAGAGCAATAGGGTATGGGGGACCCCGGGGATGGAGCACTGAGGTACGGGGGGGACCCCAGTGATGTAGGGGACACAGCAACAGGGTGACAATGGGGTGCAAGGGATGGAGCCCAGGAGGATGGAGATGCAGGAGATGGGGCAACGGGGCATGGGGGACCCCAGGGATGCAGGGTATGAAGCAACTGGGTGGTGGGGGATCCCCAGGGATGTAAGAGATGGAGCAATGGGTTACAGGGGCCCCCCAGGGATGCAAGTGATGGAGCAACAGGGTGCTAGGGATGGAGGGGATGGAGTAATGGGGCATGGGGGACCCCAAGGTTGCAGGGGATGGGGCAACGGGGTGATGAGGGACCCCCAGGAATGCAGGGGATGGAATAATGGGTTGATGGGGACCACCAGGGATAGAGCAATAGGGTATGGGGGACCCCAGGGATGGAGCAATGGGGTACAGGAGACCCCAGGGATGGAGCACTGAGGTATGGGGGGATCCCAGTGATGTAGGGGACACAGCCACAGGGTGACAACGGGGTGCAAGGGATGGAGCCCAGGGGGATGGAGATGCAGGGGATGGGGCAACGGGGCACGGGGGACCCCAGGGACACAGGGTATGAAGCAACTGGGTGGTGGGGGATCCCCAGGGATGTAAGAGATGGAGCAACGGGGTACGGGGGCCCCCTAGGGATGCAAGTGATGGAGCAACAGGGTGCTAGGGATGGAGGGGATGGAGTAATGGGGCATGGGGGACCCCAAGGTTGCAGAGGATGGGGCAATGGGGTGATGAGGGACCCCCAGGAATGTAGGTGATGGGGTAATGGGGTGATGGGAGACCCCAGGAAAAGGGAAGAAGGGAAGGGGAAAAGGGAAGGGGAGAAGGGAAGGAGGGAAGGAGGGAAGGAGGGAAGGAGGGAAGGAGGGAAGGAGGGAAGGAGGGAAGGAGGGAAGGAGGGAAGGAGGGAAGGGAAGGGGAACGTACCCTCTCCCGCTGCGCGTCCTGCAGCTCACGCAGGAAATCCCGCAGCGCTGCCTGCACCGCCTCCGGCTCCGCGCCCCCATCCGAGTCCGGGGTTGAACCGGGGCTCCCCGACCCCTCCGGGCCCCCACCTGGTGCCGGGGGACAAACTGGGTGACATGGGGACATTGGAGGGGGGGGTGGTGCGCAGCAGCCAAGGGAGGATGGCAAGGGGGGTGAGTCTCAATGGGATGCAGCCAGGGGATTTGGGGGACCCCCTAAAGGTGTAAGAGATGGGATAATGGGGTACGGGGGACCCCCAGGGATGGAGAGGTAAGGTGTCAGGGACCCCAGGGATGGAGGGGATGGAGAAATGAGGGGTGATAAAGGACCTCCAGGGATGTAAGGGATGGAGAAATGGGGTGAGGAGGGACCTCCAGGGATGCAGGGGATGGAGAAATGGGGTGATGAGGGACCTCCAGGGATGCAGGGGATGGAGAAATGGGGTGATAAAGGACTTCCAGGGATGCAGGGGATGGAGAAATGGGGTGATTAGGGACCTCCAGGGACGCAGGGGATGGAGAAATAAGGTGATGAGGGACCTCCTGGGACACAGGGGATGGAGAAATGGGGTGAAGAGGGACCTCCAGGGATGCAGGGGATGGAGAAATGGGGTGATGAGGGACCTCCTGGGACACAGGGGATGGAGAAATGGGGTGAAGAGGGACCTCCAGGGATGCAGGGGATGGAGAAATGGGGTGATGAGGGACCTCCTGGGACACAGGGGATGGAGAAATGGGGTGAAGAGGGACCTCCAGGGATGCAGGGGATGGAGAAATGGGGTGATGAGGGACCTCCAGGGATGCAGGGGATGGAGAAATGGGGTGAGGAGGGACCTCCAGGGATGCAGGGGATGGAGAAATGGGGTGATGAGGGACCTCCAGGGATGCAGGGGATGGAGAAATGGGGTGATGAGGGACCTCCAGGGATGCAGGGGATGGAGAAATGGGGTGATGAGGGACCTCCAGGGATACAGGGGATGGAGAAATGGGGTGAAGAGGGACCTCCAGGGATGCAGGGGATGGAGAAATGGGGTGATGAGGGACCTCCAGGGATGCAGGGGATGGAGAAATGGGGTGATAAAGGACCTCCAGGGATGCAGGGGATGGAGAAATGGGGTGATTAGGGACCTCCAGGGACGCAGGGGATGGAGAAATAAGGTGATGAGGGACCTCCTGGGACACAGGGGATGGAGAAATGGGGTGAAGAGGGACCTCCAGGGATGCAGGGGATGGAGAAATGGGGTGATGAGGGACCTCCTGGGACACAGGGGATGGAGAAATGGGGTGAAGAGGGACCTCCAGGGATGCAGGGGATGGAGAAATGGGGTGATGAGGGACCTCCAGGGATGCAGGGGATGGAGAAATGGGGTGATGAGGGACCTCCAGGGATGCAGGGGATGGAGAAATGGGGTGATGAGGGACCTCCAGGGATGCAGGGGATGGAGAAATGGGGTGATGAGGGACCTCCAGGGATGCAGGGGATGGAGAAATGGGGTGATGAGGGACCTCCAGGGATGCAGGGGATGGAGAAATGGGGTGATGAGGGACCTCCAGGGATGCAGGGGATGGAGAAATGGGGTGATAAAGGACTTCCAGGGATGCAGGGGATGGAGAAATGGGGTGATTAGGGACCTCCAGGGACGCAGGGGATGGAGAAATAAGGTGATGAGGGACCTCCTGGGACACAGGGGATGGAGAAATGGGGTGAAGAGGGACCTCCAGGGATGCAGGGGATGGAGAAATGGGGTGATGAGGGACCTCCTGGGACACAGGGGATGGAGAAATGGGGTGAAGAGGGACCTCCAGGGATGCAGGGGATGGAGAAATGGGGTGATGAGGGACCTCCAGGGATGCAGGGGATGGAGAAATGGGGCGAGGAGGGGCCTCCAGGGACACAGGGGATGGAGAAATGGGGTGAGGAGGGACCTCCAGGGATGCAAGGGATGGAGCAATAGGTTGACGGGAGACCCCCAGGAAAGCAGGGGATGGGGTAACAGGATGATGGCGGACCACCAGGGATAGAGCAATAGGGTATGGGGGACCCCGGGGATGGAGCACTGAGGTACGGGGGGGACCCCAGTGATGTAGGGGACACAGCAACAGGGTGACAATGGGGTGCAAGGGATGGAGCCCAGGAGGATGGAGATGCAGGAGATGGGGCAACGGGGCATGGGGGACCCCAGGGATGCAGGGTATGAAGCAACTGGGTGGTGGGGGATCCCCAGGGATGTAAGAGATGGAGCAATGGGTTACAGGGGCCCCCCAGGGATGCAAGTGATGGAGCAACAGGGTGCTAGGGATGGAGGGGATGGAGTAATGGGGCATGGGGGACCCCAAGGTTGCAGGGGATGGGGCAACGGGGTGATGAGGGACCCCCAGGAATGCAGGGGATGGAATAATGGGTTGATGGGGACCACCAGGGATAGAGCAATAGGGTATGGGGGACCCCAGGGATGGAGCAATGGGGTACAGGAGACCCCAGGGATGGAGCACTGAGGTATGGGGGGATCCCAGTGATGTAGGGGACACAGCCACAGGGTGACAACGGGGTGCAAGGGATGGAGCCCAGGGGGATGGAGATGCAGGGGATGGGGCAACGGGGCACGGGGGACCCCAGGGACACAGGGTATGAAGCAACTGGGTGGTGGGGGATCCCCAGGGATGTAAGAGATGGAGCAACGGGGTACGGGGGCCCCCTAGGGATGCAAGTGATGGAGCAACAGGGTGCTAGGGATGGAGGGGATGGAGTAATGGGGCATGGGGGACCCCAAGGTTGCAGAGGATGGGGCAATGGGGTGATGAGGGACCCCCAGGAATGTAGGTGATGGGGTAATGGGGTGATGGGAGACCCCAGGGATGCAGGGGATGGGGTAATGGGGTGATGAGGGACCACTGATAGGGTATGGGGGACCCCCAGGGATACAAGAGATGGAGCAATGGGGTATGGGGGACCCCCAGGGATGTATGAGGTGCAGCAGTGGGGTACAGGGGACCCCCAGGGATGCAGCGGATGGGGTAATGGGTTGATGGGAGACCCCAGGGATGTAGGGGTTGGGGTAATGGGGTGATGGGAGACCCCCAGGGATGCAGGGGATGGGGTAATGGGGTGATGACGGACCACCAATAGGGTATGGAGGACACCCAGGGATACAAGAGATGGAGCAATGGGGTATGGGGGACCCCCAGGGATGTATGAGGTGCAGCAGTGGGGTACAGGGGACCCCAGGGATGCAGGGGATGGAGTAATGGGGTGATGGGAGACCCCCAGGGATGTAGGGGTTGGGGTAATGGGGTGATGGGAGACCCCCAGGGATGCAGGGGATGGGGTAATGGGGTGATGACGGACCACCAATAGGGTATGGAGGACACCCAGGGATACAAGAGATGGAGCAATGGGGTATGGGGGACCCCCAGGGAGGGGATGCAGGGGATGGAGAAATGGGGTGAAGAGGGACCTCCAGGGATGCAGGGGATGGAGAAATGGGGTGAAGAGGGACCTCCAGGGATGCAGGGGATGGAGAAATGGGGTGATGAGGGACCTCCAGGGATGCAGGGGATGGGAGACCCTCAGGAAAGCAGGGGATGGGGTAACAGGATGATGGGGGACCACCAGGGAGAGAGCAATAGGGTATGGGGGATCTCAGGGATGGAGTAATGGGGTACAGGAGACCCCAGGGATGGGGCACTGAGATACAGGGGGGACCCCAGTGATGCAGGGGACACAGCAACAGGGTGACAACAGGGTGCAAGGGATGGAGCAGAGGGGGATGGAGATGCAGGAGATGGGGCAATGGGGCATGGGGGACCCCAGGGACGCAGGGCATGGAGCAACTGGGTGGTGGGGGACCCCCAGGGATGTAAGAGATGGAGCAACAGGGTACAGGGGACCCCCAGGGATGCAAGTGATGGAGGGACGGGGTGCTAGGGATGGAGGGGATGGAGGAATGGGCCACGGGGGACCCCAAGGTTGCAGAGGATGGGGCAATACGGTGATGAGGGACCCCCAGGAATACAGGAGATGGAGCAATGGGGTGACAGGGAACCCTCAGGGATGGAGCAATGGGGTGATGGAGGATCGTCAGTGATGCAGAGGATGGAGTGATGGGGTGATGGGAGACCCCCAGGGATGCAGGGGATGGGGTAATGGAGTGATGGGAGACCCCCAGGGACGGAGCAATGGGGTGATGGGGGATACCCAGGCAAGCAGGGGATGGGGTAATGGCGTGATGGGAGACCCCCAGGGATGCAGGGGATGGGGTAATGGGGTGATGAGGGACCACCAATAGGGTATGGGGGACCCCCAGGGATACAAGAGATGGAGCAATGGGGTATAGGGGATCCCCAGGGATATAAGAGATGGAGCAATGGGGTATGGGGGACCCCCAGGGATGTATGAGGTGCAGCAGTGGGGTACAGGGGACCCCCAGGGATGCAGGGGATGGGGTAATGGGGTGATAGGAGACCCCCAGGGATCCAGGGGATGGGGTAATGGGTTGATGGGAGACCCCAGGGATGTAGGGGATGGGGTAATGGGGTGATGGGAGACCCCCAGGGATGTAGGGGTTGGGGTAATGGGGTGATGGGAGACCCCAGGGATGCAGGGGATGGGATAATGGGGTGATGAGGGACCACCAACAGGGTATGGGGGACCCCCAGGGATACTAGAGATGAAGCAATGGGGTATGGGGGATCCCCAGGGTGTACGAGGTGCAGCAGTGGGGTACAGGGGACCCCAGGGATGCAGGGGATGGAGTAATGGGGTGATGGGAGACCCCCAGGGATGCAGGGGATGGGGTAATGGGGTGATGGGAGACCCCCAGGGATGCAGGGGATGGGGTAATGGGGTGATGACGGACCACCAATAGGGTATGGAGGACACCCAGGGATACAAGAGATGGAGCAATGGGGTATGGGGGACCCCCAGGGATGTATGAGGTGCAGCAGTGGGGTACAGGGGACCCCAGGGATGCAGGGGATGGAGTAATGGGGTAGGGATCCAGGGGATGGGGTAATGGGTTGATGGGAGACCCCAGGGATGTAGGGGATGGGGTAATGGGGTGATGGGAGACCCCCAGGGATGTAGGGGTTGGGGTAATGGGGTGATGGGAGACCCCAGGGATGCAGGGGATGGGATAATGGGGTGATGAGGGACCACCAACAGGGTATGGGGGACCCCCAGGGATACTAGAGATGAAGCAATGGGGTATGGGGGATCCCCAGGGTGTACGAGGTGCAGCAGTGGGGTACAGGGGACCCCAGGGATGCAGGGGATGGAGTAATGGGGTGATGGGAGACCCCCAGGGATGCAGGGGATGGGGTAATGGGGTGATGGGAGACCCCCAGGGATGAAGGGGTTGGGGTAATGGGGTGATGGGAGACCCCAGGGATGCAGGGGATGGGATAATGGGGTGATGAGGGACCACCAACAGGGTATGGGGGACCCCCAGGGATACTAGAGATGAAGCAATGGGGTATGGGGGATCCCCAGGGTGTACGAGGTGCAGCAGTGGGGTACAGGGGACCCCAGGGATGCAGGGGATGGAGTAATGGGGTGATGGGAGACCCCCAGGGATGCAGGGGATGGGGTAATGGGGTGATGGGAGACCCCCAGGGATGAGGGGATGGGGTAATGGGGTGATGAGGGACCACCAATAGGGTATGGGGGATCCCAAGGGATGTACGAGGTGCAGCAACGGGGTATCCAGGGATGCAGGGGACAGAGCACTGAGGTGATGGGGATGCAAGGGCTGGAGCAACAGGGTATGGGGCCGCCCCAAAGGGATGCAGGGAGAGGATCATAGAATCATAGATTCATTGAGGTTGGAAGAGACCCTTGGGATCATCGAGTCCAACCATCTCCCCTACTCTACAAAGTCCTCCCCTACACCATGTCCCTCAGCACTGCATCTAAACGGCCCTTAAACACAGCCAGGGATGGTGCCTCCACCCCCTCCCTGGGCAGCCTGTTCCAACGCCCGACCACTCTTTCTGTGAAAAATTCCTTCCTAATGTTCAGTCTAAACCTACCCTGTGGTCCCAAATTAGCACATTCCCACCATGTTAGCAATCTCCTCTTTCCTGACTGCCTATACTGATGCTGTTCCTTTCCCCAGTGGTGAATTACACTCTGGACTGATCCCCAGGGATGCAAGGGATGGAGTTATAGGGTCCCTTCACTAGTTTCGTTGCCCTCCTCTGCACTCGCTCCAGCACCTCCAGATCTCTCTTGGATTGAGGTGCCCAAAACCGGACACAACACTCGAGGTGTGGCCTCCCCAGTGCTGAGTACAGGGGCACAACCACCTCCCTACTTCTGCTGGTCACACTATTTTTGATACAAGCCAGGATGCCCTTGGCTTTCTTGCCCCCCTGGGCACACGGCCGGCTCATATTCAGCCGGGTGATAGGATGCAAGAGATGGGGCAGTGGGATACGGGGGACCCCCAGGGGTGTGGGGAACGGAGAAGTGCAGCAGGAAGCAAGGGAGGGGGCACTGAGGGGGTCCTCGTGGACTCTCACCCTTGCCGGGGGAGCCGGTCCGTACGCGGCCGATGCCCATGGTGCGGCGCAGGGCGGACTGGATGCCCCCCAGGCGGGTCTGGGCAGCCCGGCGCAGGGCTTCCCCGCGGGCCAGCTCGGCTTCCAGGCCCTGTGCCCGGCCCTCGGCCGCGCTCAGCCGCAGGCTCAGCTCCGCCGCCTCGCCCCGCGCCGCCTCCACCTTCAGCTGCAGGTTACGGGCATCGGCCAGAAGCTTCTTCTCCTGCCCCCGAGCCTCCTCCAAGCTGCGGGCCAGGGCCTGCTCCCGCTGCCGGAATTCGCCCTCCGCCTCCGACAGCCGCCGCTGCAGGTGCTGGAGCTGGGGTGGGGTGGAGTGATGGGAGAGCAACAGGGTGATGGAGGAGCAATAGGGATGGAGGACCCCCAGGGATGGAGCAGTGGGATACTGGAGACCAACCCCCAGGAATGTGAGGGATGGAGCAATAGGGTGAGACCCCCAGGGACGAAGCAAAGAAGTGTGGAGGACCCCTAGGGATTCAGAGGAGGGAGCAATGGGGTGATGGGGGAGCAATAGGGTGATGGGATACCCCCAGGGATGGAGCAGTGGGATACTGGAGACCGACCCCCAAGGATGTAAGGGATGGAGTAATAGGGTGAGACCCCCAGGGACGGAGCAAAGGGGTGTGGAGGACCCCTAGAGATTCAGAGAAGGGAGCAATGGAGTGATGGGAGAGCAACAGGGTGATGGAGGAGCAATAGGGATGGAGGACCCCCAGGGATGGAGCAGTGGGATACTGGAGACCAACCCCCAGGAATGTGAGGGATGGAGCAATAGGGTGAGACCCCCAGGGACGAAGCAAAGAAGTGTGGAGGACCCCTAGGGATTCAGAGGAGGGAGCAATGGGGTGATGGGGGAGCAATAGGGTGATGGGATACCCCCAGGGATGGAGCAGTGGGATACTGGAGACCGACCCCCAAGGATGTAAGGGATGGAGCAATAGGGTGAGATCCCCAGGGACGGAGCAAAGGGGTGTGGAG